ATGGATAACTCCAGCTTGTCCATACATTATATGGTTTAGCCTCTAGTTTTGGACCCCTTATCGGCTCATCTGCACTCCCCGTAACAGCTCATTGATATATTTTGCCGAGCCTTCGGGCCTTTCAGATTATAGTGACCCTGTCGCACACCCGACATAAGGAAGAAAATAAACAACCTCGAGAACCGCCCTTTTACTTATTGACGGATAAGTGATTAGTGATGATTGATAACAGAGGCAGTATTGCACCGGCAGGCCCACACTGATCCATGTACTCTAAGGTATAAACTGCTGCAATCTGGCGATATTCCTTAAAAAGGCAACTTAGTTAATATCTGCTCTTGAACAATTAATGCTATTCTCTCTGAGATTATTATCCAAAGGCAAAGGGCCGGAGAGAACCGTTTCAAAAACTGGAATCGTGTGCAAAAAACTTCGGTTCGTTTTAATTTTTGAACAGTTGTTCCGAATAACATATATGTTTTGGGTTTTTTATACAGAGCTATTGAATTCATAAGCGTTCCTCTAGTCATTCACCTTACCCATGTCTTATCGCGCTCTTGTTTTATAAGGAGAAAGCTTAAAACGAATGTATTTTACCGATTGCCAACCAGCCCAGAGAATGGCCTGGAGACTCATTTGGCGGGTAAAAAGAAGAAAGCCCGCATTTAGCTGCTGTTTTGAAAATTGGCGAAGAAAATCCAAACTTCAGGAATAGTCTTTTAGGGGTTATCAAGACTACTTTAAGGCAACCGCTGACGCCGAAGTTTGTAGAAGATCTACATAGGCCAAATCATAAGTCCTGATGCTTGGTGATTTCCGTCCAAACAGAATGAAAACTGAAGGAAGTGTCTTTACGCTCTTTGCCGTTTTCTCTACCCATAACGTATACAGCTCGCAGGCTGAAACTCATAAAAGCAAGTGCAATGGCAGATCGGACTCAAAGTCAATAGGAACTAGTAAAACTTTTGAAACCCAAATGCGCCCATTTCCTAGTCTAAATGTTAAAGAAGACGTAGTGTATTACCACATGAGCAAAAGAACGAATATTTTTGTGAATATGTACCCTAAAATACATCCGAAAGCCCACAGAACATTCATACTATATAAGTAGTCACTTATAATGAACTTAAATCTCTCAGGTAATCGGAATGAAAGCCCCTGGCTTGACCTAAATATCTTGGAATTATGCTGAACGATAATAAGTATAATTATCTCCATTAAGTAATCGCTGTTTATCAAACACGCATTGGAGAATTTCGGTAAACAGTTCACGTGGTCTGTCACTATATTTCCCTTGAGCAATTCGCATTACAATCAGAATTTTACTGTTGAAAACGAAACTATGGGAGCACAGTTCTATAGGAACCTTCACCAAGAATGAGGCAACAGGAAGCCATTCTGTTAAACTCATCCATCCCGAAATTTCCGAGTTTTGCCGCGTTTAGGGAGATCTTCTTTTTCCTCCTTCAGAAAGGTTCGAATTTAAAATTCCCTGTGAGAACTAATGGTGTCGTTTAGGTCAACTTTATCCTCACCGTGAACTTTTGATCTAAGAGCTGAATTAAATTTTTTTGCCTCACAAATATTTCCCCATTCACAGTTGCTCTCCATAATCAGACCCTTTGAAGTCATAACTTTGTTTTCGGGACAGACGATTCTCTCTGCCGTTGCTAAAAGTGAAGCAAACCTATAGACAAACCCTCTTGACTGCTAAACTGTTAAAAATGAGTCTGCAACGAACCATTACTCGAAGGTTTTGTTGCGAAATCCGAACACGTTTGTGGACCCGTGTTTTTGATGGTCAAAGTTATGCCAGGGCCGGGCGTGATCGCTTCATGCAGTTAAAATCCTACGTGGAAAACTTTTGTCATTTTAAATGTAGCAGACAACATGGCTATTAAAACGGTAGCAGGGAACAAAGTGAGCAGTCCCAGACACCGCATACGCTGCTCTGAGAACTCCGCTTACCGCTCCTCTAGGTAAAGCGTTTTTGCGGAGAGGCAGGTTAGCAGGCGTGGTACAGTTGTCACAGCCTAAATTTCTCCCAGCGATATTTACAGGTTAAATGCGCTTGTTCAAAGTAGTTCATCGCCCGGTAACCTGCGGAAGGGTGGTCGTTTCGCTGTCGACTGGGGGAAGCTAACCGCTCCAAAAATACTTTTAGGGTTAAGGCACTTCCTAAGATGAATAGAGTCCGGTGCGAGTGAAGCTGAAAGCACGGACTTTTTTAAAAGGCGTTTCGAAATAACAAGTGACAGTAGCCTTAAATGAGGAGAACTAGTTGATCACATATGACACCTGATTAATAGAAAAGTATTTAGGACATAAAAAACCTGAACTCGAACTTAACGTGAATTCTAAATCCTATCCCCGCTTATATGCATCGTATTTTTTGGCGCAACTTCTTAAAACTGCAGGTATTCGCGTACATCTTTTACCTGACGGTGGTCATAGCACATTTTATGCGGTCCAGACTCCGTTCGGCCACTGCGGCATAGCTTACGTGAGGGATGAACACAATCAATTCCACCATCCCCGCCACCGACCGAAACATTCCTGACTCCTCGTCAACTGCAATGTGGACTTGGTCCCAACTGGTCTTCATTGCGATCGCACAGTCCCCTCATTCATCGGGTCGGTCGGTCACCTACGAAACCATCGTTCTTTGGCCGGTGAAACAGTACCCAAAGCACCGGCATATACCCACCCCATCCATCTCCACTGCCCATATTGTACAAGCTCCTGCACTCGTTGCATGAACATATTCGGTCACATGCGCCCCCACGAAAACAGATCTAACTGCAAAATCGACACTTCAAACTCATCCTGCATACCTGACAACGCTCCCAAATCCGGCACTGAGAACTCCCATCAATTGGCCTGACCACGTCCAATGGTTTCACCACTCCAAACGATTCTACAGCCCAAACCTAGCTTGATCTCACTGCTACCAAGCATGTATATCACGCATCGGCCTGGTCTGTTACTTGCAAAACCAACGCACAGAGGCTGGAGAGCCAGTGCCAGGAGCACCAACATATACCTACCACACACGCCTCCACTGCTCATGCATAACGTCCACGCACACTCACTCACCGCAGAGACCTACTCTGTCACATGCGTCTTTATGAAAACCTGCGGTAAATCATCGCAGACACGACGATATGACCATGCATTTCCCTACCAAACCCACGCTGCACATAGACCCCTCCGAAACCTCACAGTACCGACACCTCTCGCGTAAGTGGGAAGCCCAATTTCGGAATCTGTTCTCCTAGTGTCTTCCCTGCTGCATGTAAGATCCACGCGTTCTATCCTCCCTGTGGAAAGTCCTATTGCGTGCGTTTGTGGTGCTAGTTCGTGCGTGTGGCGCATGCAGACGAGCTCTCTAGCTCTGTTAGCCACTGCGTCCATATCCTGTGTCAGATATCTGACCAGCTCGGACAGTGGCTAGGGACTGGAAATGGAAAGAGAGAGTGAGGTTGACGACTGAGCGCACTTTCTTCATTATAACCGACATGGCGCACTTGAAGCTATCACGGTGCGTTAAAAGCCGTGGCTTGGAAGGTTGCCCATTGACGGTATAATACGGACCTTGCAGTCAGTCCATAGTGTGTTTCTGTGGAGTGGAAGACTTGTGGACCGAGAATCAGGCTGGCTTGACTCCCTCTGAATGTCGCCTCTGTGGCACTCCTACCCCGCGGCACCCAAGTCGGGTGTGGTGGCACGCCTAGGTGCGACTCCTACCGCGTCAACCGCCTGCTTCCTCTCTCACCTCCGGTCTTCTCGAGTTGGCCATGAAACTGGACATAGGTGAGGTAGATGCAGCGCAATTCCACTATCACTATAAACTACTTCACGCGCAACTCACCGTCCCTGCACTCACTCTGCCGTAGGGCGCAAGTGGACATCGTCGAAATCAACGGTCGAACTGTCAAGTGAGCTAGAGGATTGCGAGGTGAACGCAGCTCAAGGCAACCCCTCAGAGGCCCTTTTCATGCACCAGGCAAATCCCCTCGAGAAACTGACCCTCATCACGCACAAACTGCCTTTGCTGTTCTTAGATTTTCCGACATGTCACATGCATACTAAACGTGCGTCTGGGTACGTTAGCTTTTCCCAATGTGCGTGGGCTTTCGCTGGTTGGTTTGTTGAATATCTTCCACATCTGTGGGTGACACTTTTTTGAGAAAAATCTTGGGCTACAAGTCGACAAGCTGATAAATGCATCTAACCGTAAACACGGTGGATTTTTCAGTTACGGATACTGCTGTATGACGACTCACTTGCATTATCTTGATGCATTTATACAAGATCTGTTAACAATTTCAGCTAAGGTAATTTAAGAGAAATATGCAAACGAAATTTGCATTTACTCAAAACAAAATTCTTACCTAGACAGAATATTTGCGTTCTCTTTTTGCTGCTGACGGTTTGCTTTAACTTTTTCGATGGATATTTGAGAAAGATCTGCGATAGCCGTACAAAAAAACTATGCAACCTTTGATATTAGCTTCGCAATATGGCGGAATGAGCTCCGAATTCCATTGCTTATAATCACAGAGCGGCTGCGGCACAAGTGAGTTTACTATTCTCCAGTTACTCAGTAATGGCTCTTTTAGCCCACATCAGAAACTGTCTACTCTGCAGTTTCTAATGTAATGAGCATTCCTAGACAATCTGGGAATTTTTTAATCATGTTTGCCGAATGGTACAGATAAGAGTACTAAAGTTGCTCATGAGAATAAGGTTTGTATAAACGTTTATATTTCTCTGCGTACTCATTACGACAAATTGATGACTTTGACGGAAAACCATGAAATGCGTCAGCCATCACGGATTCCTGTGAGGGCAGCACATTTGTTTCAGCGTCAGTATGTATGAGAGTGAGCATCTGGAGAGAGAGCAGAGAGAGCGAAAGAGGAGACAGGAGTACACTGAGGCCGATAAGAACGGAACGGTTGCTGTATAGGTGTTAGTACCGGTGGTCACAGCAAGCATTAGACGAAACTAGTTGTCTCGCACGTGCGAAGGCTAGTTTGTCCGGGGCTTTCCTGCCTACCTGCAGCTCCGCCTTCACAATCAATTTTGAATGCAGTCTCTCCCTGTCCAGAGTGAGCGCTCTGAGTAGTTGGAGTAATGGGGGTGTATTCGTCAGTGAAGTCTGCCGCATCCGGACTCCGATAACCATTTTCTACGCCAGAACCGGGCGACTTCTTTGAGATCACATTTTTCACTAGGCTTGTGAGAACGCTGTAGGTGTTGTTGTCTTTAGGAACATTTTCTATCTGGGCACCGGTTAAGTTCGAAGATGTCAATTCTGGCCTGTTTCCTGTTACGTTATCGCATTTGTTAAAAAGGGCATCCTTAAGTTCATCACAGGACCTGGAGGGTAAAAGAAGACGGTAGGGCTTGGCGTCTGTGGACGTATTTGCGTCATATTGAGCAGCTGGATAAGTTCCCTGGGCCGCATTCTGCAACGTAGATTCGGAAGTTTGAGGTAATCGAGGAAGTCCGTAGATAGGTGTGATTGCTAACTTCTGCCGATGATCTCGCCCAATAGCCCACTGAGCTTCAGGGCGGCTAAGAATTGAGTTGTTCTTTTCAATTACTTTTGGACGGGTGGGGCTGAATCGAACGGACTCGTCAATGTACACTATGTTGCTCATAAGGGAACCCTCTGAGGACAGATTTGGGTAACTCTTGTCCGAGCTCGGCAGCAGTGTCATGAGCACCGGTTGTTGGATATCATCCTACAATTCAGAAAGAAACGAACAATAGCTGCAGGTATAAACTGGAACGGCTCTCAAACGACGCCGTATGTCGTCGTTGCCAAAGTAACGGAATGCAATCCAATGAAAGACGAAGGGACGGACATAAAACGAAGTGTTTACCGCTGGAGATGACTAGCGCTAGCGTGCTCGTAATCTTTCTTCCGGCCTCAACAACTATGCAGTTTACGTTGCAGCGACTATTTCAAAGTGCTAACTCCACCGTGTCATTCTACGAAGCCAACTACCAGCTCGATAAATAAACCAAAGCCTGCAAACCAGAGTCAGCAGCGGAAGGTCACTATAATGGTGGGTTATGTCTGGAGCGAATATGTCCGATTGAAATCTGAAGATACCCATGTGACGTTTACACCACCAGCTTTCATCACTAATTATGCATTGATAATCTTTCGAAAGATTGTCGAAATAGGCCCATAGAATGAGGCAAATGAGATGAGAATTCCTATGCAATCAATGAGTTTTGGTCACCTTACTCCTTATGAGGGGTTTCATGCTCATAAGTCACTATTCACCAAATGGTGGTCCTTTTGCATTTGACATTCATAGGAATTTTTGAATTTATAGTATTTTCCATTTAAACTTTGGATTTGTTTTTTAATATAGCTTGTGCATGCAATTCAAACCTACTTGGATGACTTTGATCTTTATTGTTTTTGAAGACGCCTTAGGTCCAAGAAAGTAGAAGAGCATACGTAGGCTTGATTCAGAGATTTTAAAGCATAGATTGTTAAAGTTTTTGAACATGCATATGGACGCGATACAGTCACTGTCTTACACTAGTTTGCATGCATTTTTGGCCTTTTTCACGACAGACCTAAACAAAAGACGAGACCCTCACTAATTTGGAGAGAACATTCAAAGTCAATTGTGAAATGGTATACAATATAAAGCTTGGAACGAGAAAAGGTGCCTTTTCACCGAGCCATTTTGATAACGCTTGATATCTGCTTGAATGCAAAAGTGGGCACTCGAACTTTCAAGGGCATCTTCTGAGTATGGGTGAAGGGAAGAATTAGACAATACAGGTTATTATGATGGAATCAGTCAAGACGCAAAAGTAAAAAATGAAGCGAAGGTCTAGCGATATAAGTGAGCACGTCCACAGCAAATATCGGTCGGTGCAGAAGGGTAAAACTCGAGGTTGTTTCTCAAGACAGATGGATGTAAACCCAAGCAGCGCATACTTCTGTTATTCAGATCGTCCATGGACTTCTAAGTATCGCTCGATTTGCGAATACTTTTCAATGCTTCGACAGTCAGAGCACTCTTTTGCAATTTCGTATTTTATACAGTAAAGGTACTTTTTCATTCGTTCTACATGCAAATTGAAGCAAAACCACTACTTTTGAGCCAAAACGCTGAGCCTGCTCCAGTCAACCGTCATCCACCAAAATGACACCCGGAATAAACCTGTGCCAACAAGGCATTCAAGTTAATATATAAGGACTAAAAATGAAGAGCATTAGACAGCGCGGAAGAAAACATTTGATCTCGGCCCAAAGCCGACACTTCTGCAAGGACTCCTACAAAAAGTCTGACTTTTCGTGCAGCCAGGGTCACTGATGCACAGTTTAAAAAAAGACTGCGTTCCCGCCCTAAAATTATTCTTGTTACAAGAGCGGTATGCTCAACGCGTTTGAATACTTTGGGGAAAAATGCAGGTTGCCTCTAGATTCAAATAAGTCAGTTTCGGGAAGCACCCTAGTAGAACACGCGGGCGTCGGAACAAGGAGTTTGCATTTTCCTCCAAGAATAACAGGCGTCGTCATCAGAGAATTAATGCAATAACTGCAGTCAGGGGGATTAAATGATACATTCACCTTGTACATCTCGCGACCAACCGATGATGCATGGTGCCAGTCTCCAATTTGCGGACGATAACCTCCGTAAAAACACGCAATGACGAAGTGCACGTGGATAGCCCTGTGTGATCTGCCGCTTTGTCGATGCAGACTAAGTCCGAAATTATGTAGGTCAAGTGTAGTAAAGGTCGGAGACACGTGTGCTCGAATTAAGTTAGTGGCTTCATCGGAGACCCAGCATCTCTCTCGGCCATCCACCGATACTTACTAAACGTAAATCCTGAATATGTTGACGGGATTGATAATTGAAAAAGACGGGAGGACTCAGTACAGGTTATGATATCGACTTTCAATCTTTACATGGATTAATCACCAGTTGCATTTTGAATTCTACTTTCAGTCAGTGTGTCCCACACAGACGAGTCGGGGACGCAGAGGAGTCCATGGATTGACGAATGCCGCAAAGGTAAACTGAATCCTTGCTTGGTACAGAATCGAATATACTTAAACAGTTCTATCAACAGAAATGTTTGCATTAGTGTTTCTGGAACAACGTGGAAGATCTGACAAAATACATTTCTGTTATTGGTAGTCGACCTGTCTCCAAGTATTTCCGTTGTAATATGCTTTTTGTAAGCCATTTTATTCGACACATTAGGCTTGTACTACATCGGTTGGATGCTCATTATCCTAACTTAGAAACCATCCACTTTACCGCCTTCGCCCTTTATATCTGGTCGGAAAATTTTTGAGCCGTAAAGATTAAAGTCTTACCTTAGGCCACATTAGCAAGTGTACATTTCCCTGCAAAATATTAACCTTCGACGTCATTCATAATGCAATTCAGAATGCGCTTGTCCACAGTCGGTCAAGTCTTCTTCCTACAATTGGTTAGCTTTGATCATAAAAGCTTTGTGACTTAAAGTTCAAGGTTGATCTTTTTGGAAGAGTGGGCTCTTGGAAACATTTGAGGACTCATCAAGGATTTTGCATGAAAAACACCAGTTGATTGGTTGAAAAATGCCTTACTATCATAAGACTCGAGGGCTTAAAAATAACCATCCACTAAACAATGATCCACAGCAAACATGGGAAACGTTTCCAAGTCTGTTGTGCATAGAAGTTCACAGGCTCTTACAATGCATCTGCAAGTTCAATTCCCAAAACTTTAAAACTATACGTCAAAGCGAATGTGATACGTCTATACAGCTGCATATTTATAATTTAAAGACAATTTTGCGAGCATACGCAAACTTTCCATCAGTTCTCATCAGGCCTATACATTTATATTGCTTTCGAAATGATTAAAAATAAAATGCGAGCAAACAGGAGTTTCCTGTAGCTGGGGTTTGGGGGGAGGGCCTGGGTGGGTGAGGTGAAAAACAAAATTACCGTCAGCGTCAGGGAGGAGTAGGGGATGATGGCACTAGGACGGTTAATTATGCGCAGGTGGCTGACATAGTGGCCTTGGGCCATGGTAACTGTGGGGCCTGTACGAAGTTCGTTTGTTGCGCATAGAACTGTTTTGTATAGCCTGATTGCAGCCGCTTCTGCAGTTGCCAACAGACGCTGATCAAGTGATTTTGGATAGCTTGACGGGACCTTGTAAATCATTCGGAATGCCTGTCCGGCATCTACAAAGTGAGATCTGCAATGCTGTTCACGAATTCAAAAGTAACCCGATAGCTATGTTGTGCTAGCTGGTACTGCATGGGCTTAAGTTTCTCTGCTAGCCCCTTTCCAAACGTATGGTACGGAGAATTTCACGTTGTCTAAGATTGGACAAACAGGTGTACCATCTTTGTGGATGTTCGGCCAGCCATATAATCGAGGTATATGCAAACCAACGAGTCGGAGACGCTCTAGATCGTGCTCGCTTGTGAAACCATTCGCTTGAAGTTTTTTCAATCAGTCAGTCAATTGTACTTCAACCTCATCTGTCTCTTCCTTCTCCTTTCCTGCCTTGCGGAACTTTTCCTGGTCTGACAGGGCTGACCGTATTTTTGTAATGTGGTCAGCCCTGTCCATCAAAACAACACCAGATGCCTTATCTGGTCTCGTTATTAGAATATCCTTGTTCTGTCGCAGTTTCTTTTAATTTCTCAATATATGATTTCGTCAGCAGCCTCCACATTTCAGTCTACTGTTCACGTATTGATAAGAGCAGTTGATTAACGTAGAGTTAAGGTGTTGCACGCTATTTGTCGAAACCGGTTGAAAGTCAAGTGTTTGATTTACTAAGTTCCTGAACTGTGTATCTAGCTCCGGCTGGTTGGGTTGATAGCGAGGACAGCAGAACTTAGGGTCAAGCGATAATGCTTCGATAAACGTTTTATAAAGAGATATAGACGAATAGTTGTGTGTGTACCGACTTGGGTCCTCGGGGAGCTTCGATTGTGGTCTTGCGTGTACACTCCGAAGGAGGTAAGCCATCTGTATTTCCTCACGTTTTTCCGCAATGCACAGCACATAGTCTTCGAATTTCTGCCTCTTATCTTCATCTAGTTGGTCCAGTGCTGAAGCTCGTTGGCACATGTGATGCCCTAGTTTCTGCACCTTTACAGGAGTGCTCTCTAGTTCGCTTTTTTGCGTGTCTCCTTAAAGTATCAGAAATAATACTCCTTTAAACCCCAGCTACAGAAAAACTTCTGCTTGCCCGTATTTTCTTTTAAATCATTTCGATAAATGTTTAGGCCTGATGAGAATTTATCGGAAGCTTACGTATGCTCGCGAAATTGTCTTTGGAGTTCTGTAATGCGAATTGTCGTAACTCTATTTACAATTTGACATATCATTCCCCATTTCTGAGGGAAAATAACTACACCTAATATTTGAAAACTACTGTCAAATGTTTTGGTTACTTGTATCAAAACTAAGGTAGATTTCTTAAACTTATGGAGTCGCTAGCTTTTAGCCGAATTATGTGGAGAATTCTGCTAAAGCATCCAGGTTAAATCTTATCTGCAGCTCCAGTGCCTTTCAGAACGATTATTTCCGTGCATTTAAATAACTTATGAAGACCGGTGGTTTCCAAGTTGCCTAAGCTGTTCTCTTAAAATGACTGGATAAGTTGCATTTTTCAATGCGTTGAAAGACCGGGCCTTGCTGCTACATAAGCCATTTCGCAAAATTTGGTATGCAGGCAGAAAAACCTCTCATGTTTATGAGGCATTTACATTTACTATCTGGATTTTCACACATGATGACCCACTATTAAATATTTAATTATCTGCTTGCATACTGGGGATAAGTTCGGCACCACGCCAATGTCCGCTCGCCACCTAGCAAAAATTGGATGATCATGTGAAATTTCTCGTCCCTACCACGGCTGCAGTTTTTTCTGTTCAATTGCTAATGTTTACTTCAGAGCAAATTTGATGAAGTACGCACAAAATTGGCAGCTCAAGTTCAGTTGAAAATATGCCGTTTGCGTGGATAAAGTTTGAGCCTCCTGGACTGAAAAACTACCGTAGAACATTACCCGCTTTTGCGCATCACGTGGCGTCCATGCGCATATTTGTTCCATAGTGTACCTGGAATAAAGAAATTCGCTATTTTGATTACCTAACTAAGTTTACTTTGGAAGTCTAAACGGGCGTTTTAATAAAGTAACAAAAATTATTTATCAATCAGCTTTAAAATAAGGACTGTCCATTTCCACAGGCGCCTGCATGTCAACATGTTGAAGCGGTCACTATAACAACAACTGGGTGCAGAAAATGCCTTTAGCATATGTGGGAATAACATTCTTCCAATTCATTAAAGGGGTTCATTTATTGACATGTTGCAATTAGGAACAGGAAATAAAAACTCGCCTAACTTAGACATCGCAATGAGACTTTATTCCATTGAATTAACATGGTTTACTATTTTATCGGTTGATTTGTCGTTTTCTTGCTGGAACAGGTATACTTGGGATTTGATAGCTGAGGTCAGTTTCCCAACTATGTTTAAATAGTTTACGATTTTCATGATTGAATTGAATATTAAGCCCACGGACTGATGCACCATACGAGGTTCGAATACTGGTCTCACATGTCCATGCGCCATATCAAAAGCGCAGGACGCAGAAACAGGAGGCCCCGTAACGCAGGTGAGTGCGCCAAACCCCAGGGAGATTAGGATTAGAGTTAGGGATATGGCTAAGATTAAGCTCGCAGTTAGGGTTAACCTTAGAGTTAAGGTTTAGGTTAAGATTAGGGATAGGATACGGAACAGGCACTTTTCTTGATATCTAGCACAAAAACAAATTTATCATGGGAAGTTAGTATTCCCATGTCTTGCTCGAAGTCTTTGCATGCTCTTATGTGTGGACCTCCTGTATACGACAGTCACTAGGTGGCAGAGGAGGCCTAGGAGTCTCAAACTGTAGGTTTGCGTGATGGTCGTAATAGGTAGCGCTAGTGCTTTCAGGTGTAGACTACGTCTAGCGTCAGTTTACTGGCACCCGAATCTCATATGTGACTCATCGAGGCTTGGCTCTGCCTAGCGGCCACACTCCGGTAGCTGCCCGACCGGTGGGCTAAACCAGGTGAGGATATCCGTGTGTGCATCTCCGCACGCGGTAATCTCGGCTCCGATGGCCGCATGGATCATTGCTTTGGCATCTCCGAACTGAGGCTCCATATGGAACACCGCAGGAGGCCACAAGGTACGTGGGCCTTCAGGTAAGCGGACATTGATTTGGCGCCCTTACGTTGCTTATTCTAGGTTGCTTGCTGTCTGTCTGCTTGCTTTTGTTAGGCCTTGTTGAAGGCTAACTACTTATCTGTCGAATTTTCTCTCTTGCTTTTGCTTTTTGCTATTCTTAACCGCTTGTTTTTGTCTGCTTGTTCGTGTCCGTCCTTTCTGTAAGCTAAATGTTGTTCTGTTGAGTGTTTCTACTCACCAATTGTATTTCAACAACTAGTTAGTCTAGAGTGGGACAGGAAATCTCTGCATCCCATCCCTCTACCCCTCTCTCCTCCCGCCTCACCCTCGCAAGCCCAGCAGTGATGTCGCAGGTAGGCCCAGAATAACTCGGGTCGTTCTCTCACCAAACAAATATTGTGGCACCTAGTGGAGTTCGGCAACCGTCTGGCACAACTGAGCAGCCCTATTTAGGGAGAGCACGGCTCACCCGCATAAGGTGAATGGGCTAGAAAAGGTACTCTAAAAAAGCGCTGGGGATCCATGGCGTCTGCAGGCTGACCGGGGACTCAGGCGAAAATCTCTCGGTCGAAAAAATCAAAACAGAAACAACACACTCTCTATCTCTCGTCCCCCTCCTTCTTCATGCCACCCCATTCGCCAGACTGTTAGAATGAGTCCGCTCTCTCTGGCAGCCTGGAATGTTTGTTACCTCTTGGACAATCCGAGCAGCAATCGACCAAAATGGAGGACGACGCTAGTGGATCGGGGTTGGCGCGCTATAAGGTGAACATCGCTCCACTCAGAGAGACCCGCTTCTCCGAACAATGCCAACTGGAGGAGGTGGATGTCGGCTACACCTTCTGGAGCGGTCGCCCCATGGCGGACTGATGAGACGCGAGCGTCAACCTTTCCCATTCGGAATAACATCATGAGACGACTGCCCTATCTGACACAGGGCACAAACGACAGACTAATGGGGCTTCGCTTGCCTCTTTAGGAAGGCAAATTCGTCACCATCGTCAGTGTCTACGCCCCCCCGCCCTGACGCTGCAAGGAACAAATTCTAGGAGGACCTGCACGCCCTCTTGGCGACTGTGTCGAAGGTGGATAAGTTGATTGTCCTTGGTGGCTACAATACCCGCGTCGGCACAGACCATGCAGCCTGGAGAGAAGTGCTGGGTACCCATGGTCTTTACGGCTCCAATGACAAGAGCCTGCTTTTTCTACGAACCTGCGCAGAACACCGGCCCACCCTAACCAACACCTTCCGCCTCCCAATGCGAGAGAAGGCCACCTGGATGCACCTGCGGTCGCGACACTCGCACCTGCTGGACTATGTCCTCGTCCGGAGGCGAGCCCAGCTGGATATGCTGGTGACAAAGGCGATCCTGGGTGCTGACGGGTGGACCGATCATAGCCTCGTCATTTCCAAGATGCGGATTCGTCTACAGCCTCGCAGGAGACCACAGGGGAGGCGAGCCTTTTTGTCTTTGCCTGCTCATTATTTCCATTTCAGCATCGAGTTAGCTAAACGGCTGACCGACCTTCCAGTCGCCGCTGTCGCTGCCGCCGCTGCCGAGAACGCCCCTGTGGAGAACCGATGGTGCCAACTGCGGTACACAGTTCAGTCGACGGATCTGGCCGTCCTCGGTCGCGCACTCAGCAAACACCAGGACTGTTTTGGTGGCGACGACGTCGCCATCAGGAACCTGCTCGTTGAGAAGAACCGCTTGCACAAAGCCTGCACCGTCTGCCCCACCGACGACAACAAAACAGCCTTCTACCGTAGTCGCCCCTATGTGAAACAGCGGCTGCGGACGATGCAGGACGCTTGAACGACTTGCAAGGCCGAGGAGATCCAAGGGCACGCGGGCCGATACGGATGGAAGAATGGAAGATCAAGGCTGTCTACTGTCTGCCGACCAACGGAACTGCATAGACAGCAGTATCCTACTCAACGAGAAGACACAAATTCTTTAGCGATGGGCCGAGTACTTCAGACGCGTCCTCAACCGCCCCCCACCATCTCAGACGCAGTCATTACACATGTGTCTCAAGCGGAGACCAACGCTGACCTAGATCTTCCACTGTCTCTCTCTCTCCATGAAAGCATCAGGGCCGTGCACCAACTATCTAAAGGAAAATTGCCCGGATCGTACGGAATCCCTGCGGAGATCTACAAGCACGGTGGCCCCTAACTCGTGGACCATCTGACGACGCTATTCCAAGAGATTTGGCGTCACAGCGAAGTCCAGTAGTATTTCAAGAACGTCACGGTCGTCCATCTCAATAAGCGGAAAGGTAATCGCCAGCTCTGTAACAGCTATCGAGACATCTCCTTACTGAACACCGCCGGAAGGATTTTCGCTCGCATTCTACTCAACCGCCTGAACAACCATCTGGAACAAAGTCTCCTTTCGGAAAGGCAGTGCGACTTTCGCCGGCGTCGTGGGACTACCGACATGATCTCCGCCGTCCGCCAACTGCAGGAGGAGTGTCAGGAGGTGCGGACCCACCTCTTCTCAACCTTCGTGGATCCGACGAAAGCCTTCGATACGGTGAGTCGCGAAGAACTGTGGAAAATCATACAGAAAATCGGCTGTCGCGAACGATTAACTCAGATAATGTGTCAGCT